TGTTTTGCAAATGTGTTATTTTTGAGGCCGATCTGGCTCCATAACTTACACTGTTTATTTTTATTTATGTATTTATTATTATAAAAATTATCTTTTTAGTAACAACTCAACAGATATTGTAAAAAAAATTTTTTTTAATTAATTTTAATGTATGTTAATCTGAATAAATTAGAAATCTTAAAATTATACATGTTTTATTTCAAGTAAAACAGAAGAAACATATATATATATATATATGACATGATCACCATTGATTTATTTATATTAATATTGATTTATCAATATTTTATATAGTATACAAATTATATATATTTTTTATTTTATACTTTATTATTTTTATTTCAAATAAAATATTTCATCTTTTTTTGTTTTTTTGGTTGTTAAAAAAAAAATTACAATTGAATTATAATTTATGCTATGCTAAGTTTACTATAAATTGAAGTAAAAAAATAAAGATGTTTGATTTTAGATCGTATGTTTACTAGGGCTGTGTATCACCAGGAGAGTCACGATACGATACGTATCACGATACAGAGGCCACGATACGATACGTATCACGATACAGAGGCCACGATACGATACGTATCACGATACAGAGGCCACAATACGATACATATCACGATAGAGGCCACGATACGATACATATCATGATACAGAAGCCACGATACGTATCACGATACAGAGGCCACGATACGATACGTATCACGATACAGAGGCCACGATACGATACGTATCACGATACAGAGGCCACGATACGATACGTATCACGATACAGAAGCCACGATACGATACGTATCACGATACAGAAGCCACGATACGATACGTATCACGATACAGAAGCCATGATACGATACGTATCACGATACAGAGGCCACGATACGATACGTATCACGATACAGAGGCCACGATTATCTTTCTCAACAAGGAGCTGAAACATCATTGTCTCTAAAGGAATTAAAGCCACAGCTTCACTGTTAATGGAGAAACACGGCAAAACGGTGGTAATTCATACATGCACAGCCTCTCACTTTTCTACTCAATTGTAAACGTGGTTCTTGTGTTCAGATTAAGCACGGTCCACTGCTGCACACGTGCCACAATATCAATACTGAGACAGCTGTATCCATACTTGTATCGTCAGATCTCTGTGAACACAGCACTAATGTTAATGAAAAAAATATTGTATCATTTTAACTGCTGTATTTTTGTGTGTGCTTGGTTTTTATTTTGTGTTTATGTGACTCTTGTATTATCCCAAATCAGTTTTTGCAATGAAAATAGCCTTAGATGCTGACATGGCAATAAAAATAAATAACTACTACTTAGAAAAAAAAGAATAAGCAAGTACAATAGAAGCTTAAATCTTTTATTGTGTGTGGAGTATTATTATTTCCAGTGCAAGTCTCTGAGTGTCTGTGTGTTTGTTGGTTTCAGACTCGGAGGAGTCGTCTCCACCGACGGCGGCGCAGCTCAGATACAGTGAGTTCACGTCTCTCTCAGCTCTTTCACTCATTCACTCATCTTTCTCTCAGCTCTGGATCTTCTGCTTTCTAGTTCTCCTGCACAACGCCATTCCCTTCATCGGCTTCGGCTTCCTGGATAACGCCATCATGATCGCCGCCGTGAGTCACAGCACATCAGTACACACAGCTGTCAGCACTAGATTATAGAGAGCCGCAGTCCAAGAACTGAGGCGCTGAACACAACAGCATATCTGAGAGCTTGAAGGTTTTCATTTGTGTCTGTTTATCATTAATATGCATCAAGTAACTGTGAAAACATGAGGTATTGTGATTATGTGAGTCATTTTCTTGCGTTTAAACGCTGTTGTGTTTTTTTGAGAGCTTGTTTTATTCCGTGGCTCTTTGTGTTAATCTCTGATGACGCATGTGGTGTTGTTTTTTAAGGGCACTCAGATTGAACTGTCCATCGGATTGACACTGGGAATATCCACCATGGCAGGTATTAACACACACACACACACTCTCTCACACACACACACACACACACACTCACACACTCTCTCACACTTACACTCTCTCTCACACACTCACACACACTCACACACTCTCTCACACACACACAGACACTCACTCACA